GCTAGGTCTTACTTTCAGGGGGAGGTCTTATATTTCGCAATTCAGCAAAATCTGTGCTAGGTCTTATTTTCTGCAGGTGTCTTATTTTCGGGGAAACACGGTATCTAATCTAATATACTTCTGGAAGCGAAGACTCGCTCGGGGTCCGGGTGGCGTAACTGGCAAGCGGAGGTTGCGGGTTCAAGCCCCGTCCCGGGTCAGTTCTTTTATTCCAGAATGTTCTAAATTTATTTATTTAATTATTAATTTAATTAAGAGATGGCGCCTAACGCCTACCTCTAATTGTCAAATTACTTAGTTCCAATCATTTAAAATAGCCATATTATAGCCCGATAATTAGGCGATCGTTTGGTGTTGTACAATTTTATCACTCCCTTTTTTCCTCTTATTAAATATTTGTTAAAAATTAAATTTTTTATACAAAAAAAATATTAATATAAGTTAAATATTAAAAATACTAACCATAAAAGTATTTGGTTAACTGCCTGGGGCTCCTTTCAGAGTTCACAGTAGGGTAGTCCCCTACAAGTGTCTCTGCCCCCCATAAAATGACTTGGTATTTAATTTTGTTGGAGTTGGAGTCATCCTACTAAAATTATCAGGAGTCAGAGTTGAGTGTTTTTTTAACGACTCCACAGCCTGCTTAAACTTGTATATACTGAAGAGGAGATCGGACCAAAGGTCCAGGTAGCGTAATTGGCAATGTGTCTGCACAGTAAGCAGGAGTTGCGGGTTCAAGTCCCGCTTTAGGCCAATTCTTTTCTAATCTAAATTAATTAATTAAATATTATAATTATTAATTTTAATATGAGATGGTGCCTAATGCTTCCCTGTAGTGCCAAGCCAAATTCATTTGTAATTCATAATTATTTTTTCCAAAATATAGCCCATATATTTACGGCAGTTGTGGGTGTGGTTATTTAAAAACGGAATAAAAAATATTGCACTTTTCCTTCAATTTGTATATTATTATTTCAAACTAAGTTATTAGAATATAAATTCAAACAACTGAACTATTTAACTACTAAATAAAAACTGTTAGGATTTTTTTTTCTACAAGACACCTTGAAAAAATTTAAGACACTAAGAGCATTGTAAAAGTTCAGAAACTATAGTTTTAATGAATTGAGTTCATGGGTCATTTATCACACTAATCTCAAATCTTATGAATGTATGAAAATTAAAATAATTCCTAGGAAAACTGTTTAAATTAATCTATCAGATGATTATTTCAAAAATTGATGGAATACTGAAGCTGATATTTCTTCATAAGAATGCTTTGGTATTGGAAATTAAAACCAAATGTAAGATTATACTATATATAATTAGTAAATATATTTAAATAATCATATTATTGATTTTATTTTCTTAGGTAATGATTCATATAATTTGTTACAATAATAATCAATCAATTCATAGTTTAAACTTGTTAATAATCATATAATATTGTCCTTTATTAAGTTAATAAAGTTATTGTAACTGTTTATAATAGCAAAATATTTGAATCAATATCTCTTTCCAATCATATGACTCCATTAAAACTCACAAAATAAAATCAAATACTCACTATAACATTCAAGGAATTCAAAGGTTCTACAGAACAGACCACTTGAATGTTAAAGTAAGGTATTTGATTATTTTAATCAATAATTTTATTAGTCAAATTTATAAAAAATCAAAAAAATCATAGTATATAATACTAAAAAATTATTAGATTAATTTTATTTGGAGTAATTTGAAAGCTAGTAAACAAATTTTGTTTTAAATAATGAAATCCTTTCATCAAGTGAACTACTTATTTTCAGAATAATTCAATTATTTAAGTTAGATTACATGCATAGCTAAAAATCAGACTTAAAAATTTTCTGATGTATTATAATTAGTTTTGTTAATTTTGAATTAAAATAATTTTTTAAAAATAAATTATCAAATTACTTAGGCAAATCTCATTAAATAAAAATTAAATATCATTGAAGTTAATATAAATAATTTGCATATAGAAACTATATTAATCTTACTTAAATTTCAATAGGTTGGACATGACAATTGGGTAAGAGGATTGGCTTTTCATCCCGGAGGTAAGTATATATTAAGTGCATCTGATGACCGGACAATTCGTGTTTGGGATATAAAGAACAAGCGTTGCTACAAGACACTAGAGGCTCACAATCACTTCTGCACTTCCATAGGTAAAACAGAAGACTATTTCTATTCTATTTTTTTTTTTTTTTTTTTTTTAAATCTTAATATTTATTTTCAGACTTCCATCGAACATCTCCATTTGTGATAACTGGCAGCGTAGATCAAAATGCAAAAGTTTGGGAATGTCGTTAAACTAATTTGATTTTCATTATGTAATTTGTGCCACTATATACTATATATCACTGAGGAGGTCAGCAAATAAGTTCAGCTGTGATTCAATATGTAGATTCTTATTTTAAGGATCTAACAGGACATGGTTGCTGGCCAGTTCATTCCTTATTTTAATCTGTAGAAAACGATTTTCAAAAACTGGTGTTTATATGGTCCTGTTATAGAAAAGTGTTCATCTTTATAGACATAATTTTTTTCATCATTTCCTTAAAAATAGATGATGATTACAAATTATAGTTGAGAAATGTAGATATATTACTTAAATTGTGATCTGATTTATGAAATGAAGCATAATTTTATCATAAAAATGAATTGTTATATAGAGACAAGTAAATTCCATTGTAGTATTCATTGTATTTATTTAAAATTGAAACTTGATCTTAAAAAATTTTATCCTTATATATGAAATTCAACATTGTCTTTTAAAGAACTTTAGCAATCAATTTAAGATGACAGTTTATACTTTAAAAACAGAATTGAAAATTTAAAATCTTAGATTTGTATATAAAATATTTCTTTTGCCAAATATTTTGGGGTCAGGGAACAAACAATATTTAATCTTTGATATATTGATAAATGTATTTGTATCTGATTTCAAAAAAAGTTAGTGTTTTGTTTATTTTCCACTATGTAATTTATATCCAACAAATTTATTTTTTGTAGTAATTGTGAAATAATAATCTATTGCAGAAACACTTGTCTGCATATTTGTCAAACTTTCTTCTTTAAGCTGTATTATACACTTAAATGTTGATTCGTAATTCAAAATAAAATTCACTTCCTTAAAATTTTGTGTGTTTTTATTTCAAAATGTACTTTTCAGATGAATAATAAAATTAAACAATAGCATTATCAACCGAATTTATCCTATAAAGCTATAATGTATATCGGGTGGCAAACCTTTGCGCCCACATGCCATATAGTAAGCATACTTAACTTTAAATATGTTTATGCATGCCAATAACAAATAACAATATTTGAAGAAATTAAATACATTTCTTTTAAATAAAAAATATGCAAAAAAGCTGTTTGAAAAAAGGATGATTGGGTGATCAACCAAAAAGATAATTGAAAAAGATGGATGATAAATAGAAATTGTATGATGTTACATGCCAGATGATTTCTTCTTGCCTGCCACTTTGGGGGCACATGCTATAGGTTCACCACCTGATCTATATCAATTAAATTATTGGTAACTCATTCCATTTAAATTTGTATATAAATATATTAAATATTCTTAGTATTAATCACTAATTTTTCAGTTTTTAATGAGGAAAATATTAATATCGCACTCCACAAGAAACAAAATTATTTTTGAATATTGAAGCATTTAAGAATATTTACATTTATTGAATATTAACTTTTTTTTTTTTAACCTATGAAACCATGAAGTGAGGAAACTTAAATTATTTATCAATAATTGCTTTTATTGAATACACTAACAAAATCTTTTCAATTCTTAAAGAACTAATTCTATAGACCAACTTTAAATATTTAAGTTTTATGAACATTTAGGAGAATACATTTATGGATGTGGCTTAATTAGGTTGTACATAAACTATATGGTTTTTAAAAAAGTTGGAGAAGATCTTTTCAATAACTAGTGTTTCATTCATTATTATTATTAGATTTATTTAAGTGACAAATCTGCTAATTACTTTACCAAACTTGCTTTTACAAGAAGCCAGAAAAGTGTTTTGACAGTGATTAGTACTGGAATTAAAATTTTGTCATAATAATTATCTTCATATAATTTGTTACAATAATAATCAATCAATTCATAGTTTAAACTTGTTAATAATCATATAATATTGTCCTTTATTAAGTTAATAAAGTTATTGTAACTGTTTATAATAGCAAAATATTTGAATCAATATCTCTTTCCAATCATATGACTCCATTAAAACTCACAAAATAAAATCAAATACTCACTATAACATTCAAGGAATTCAAAGGTTCTACAGAACAGACCACTTGAATGTTAAAGTAAGGTATTTGATTATTTTAATCAATAATTTTATTAGTCAAATTTATAAAAAATCAAAAAAATCATAGTATATAATACTAAAAAATTATTAGATTAATTTTATTTGGAGTAATTTGAAAGCTAGTAAACAAATTTTGTTTTAAATAATGAAATCCTTTCATCAAGTGAACTACTTATTTTCAGAATAATTCAATTATTTAAGTTAGATTACATGCATAGCTAAAAATCAGACTTAAAAATTTTCTGATGTATTATAATTAGTTTTGTTAATTTTGAATTAAAATAATTTTTTAAAAATAAATTATCAAATTACTTAGGCAAATCTCATTAAATAAAAATTAAATATCATTGAAGTTAATATAAATAATTTGCATATAGAAACTATATTAATCTTACTTAAATTTCAATAGGTTGGACATGACAATTGGGTAAGAGGATTGGCTTTTCATCCCGGAGGTAAGTATATATTAAGTGCATCTGATGACCGGACAATTCGTGTTTGGGATATAAAGAACAAGCGTTGCTACNATTTGAAAGAAACTTAGTTTTTGAATTTAAAATTTATGATTTTGTAAAATTATGTAATAGTGATATGGTTTTAAAGGCAATAAATTTTATGAACATGGATTTTTTTTAGAATTGGGTGCTGAATAATTTGAAATATTCAAAATATCTAAAATTAATGTTAAGTATTTTGAAAAGTTATAAAAGAAAAAAGAAACTTTACATAAAACTTTTAAAGTGTTTTATATACATTTTCAAAATAAGTCTATTTTAAGCCTGCAATAATAATAATAATAATAATAATTAGCATTATGATGATGATAGACATTTCAAAAAAATATAACTGATTGTATAAAATCAATTATTATGGTACAGCAGCCTAATGAATTAAAAAGCTTGTAAAGTAAATTATGCTAATTTCCAAAGAATGTTAAAGTAAAATTTAGCTAAGAAGTTAGTAAATACTAAATAAACATCATTAAGCAGCAGATAAATCTGTTAAATAATACATTTGAATACCAAGAACAAAAATCTTCCCCCATTCAGTATTATATAATTTTTGAAATTTTTTTTATTTAATCATGACTGAGTTATAAAATTTGTTGTGTCACAAGTAGTTCTATGTTCACTAATAAATATGAATTTTTTAAAGATTTCGTGGACCACAAAAATTCTTTCACAACTGCGATTAGACAGCCTTGGATTCATAAAAACTCAAATTTTTTGTCAGCGTTATTCTAAATTTATGATTCTTATGAAAATTTCAGAAGGATGGGGTCAAAACAAATTAAGACTATCTTTTTTTCCTGTTGGAAATATAGCATTTACAAATTCCAGATCTGCATTACTGTAAAGCAGGGGTCACCAAACTATGGCCCGTGAAGTCAGTTCATCTGCCTACCACCACAATGCCACAAATGAGCTAAAATATTATTATTTATACAGAAATATCATAGATTATAGATCAGGGTTGTCTGACCTTTTTTCCTAATGGACCAAATTAGAAATTTAGGTATATTTGGTGGGCCACAAAGATTACTTTATAAAAATATATGCTTTTAAAAAGTTCAAAATGTGAATATCAAATTTTAATAACAAATATATATAATTACAAAAATACCATATTAATACTGTTTTTATGGTACTAGTCTTAATTCTAAGAAAGTTAAATGGGAATTACTCAACCTATTCCTTTCGGCAGTTTTGATGTTTTTCATGCGTGAAAAGTTCCCAAAAGTATGTACTACTCCACATGCATAACAGTTTTCTAGTTCAGTGTTTTTCAACCTTCTTTAATATGCAACCCTTTACAAGTTAAAAAATTCTAGGGCCATATTAAAACTATATCAGTGATTTTAAAAACTATGTATTTAATTTTCTTTCTGTTGAGACAAATTATTGTTGATTAAAATGAAAATTTCAGAAGAATCGATAATAATTTAACACACATAAAGTATGAGATTTCCTTTAATTATAACATTAGGCCACAGGGAACTGCTGACCTTTTTGTTTTTGTTTTTTTTTTAAGGGTCTGAATTTTCAGCTTCTACTTTTCTACTTTTTATTTCTTTTTGCAAATCAGCTCAACACTTTTTCCGCTATCATTTTCTGGGATGGGCCGTAATTCTCGCTGAAATTGTAGTTTTTTTTTAATGTAGTGTAGGACCTACAAACACTTGTCTTTTTCTTCTACCCACAACCCCCCGTGTAAGGCTTTGCAACCCACAGGTTGAAAAACACTGTTCTAGATAAATTGACAATGTCATCTAATTCATTGAAAGAATGAACTTCTTTATAAAATTCAAGAAGGGAATGTTCTCTACAATAAGTTTTCAAAAATTCTCTGCTTTGAAGTTCAATGAGTTCTACCTGGTATTTGGTTGGTGCTTCCACATAATTAAATGAAAATGGATCATTAATCGATTTTAATTCAGTTTCTATTTTTCTGAAATCAAAAAATCTTTTAACAAAAGTTGACATAATTTACTATATTTTTCAAAGTTCACAGGAAATTCTTTTCTTTTTAATAAACTCTGAAAATGCACAATTTCACCAACTTTCAATTGTGTTATCAAAGTTGTAACTTCTTACTAAAACCTGTTATTCGCTCAAACATAACTGGTGTAAATGCAAATTAAGTTTAGACAACATTTCAGTGATATCTACTAAGTAGGCAAGATCAATCAACCATTTTTTTGTTTTCTAAAATATCTACATTTTGCTTCTTGCTTTGCATGAGCACTTTTATTTCAGGTAACAATAATTGAAATATTTTCAATGCTGCTGCTTTACTGAGCCATCTGACTGTTGAGAAATGAATAACGTCTTCATTCTCACTGCCAACTTTTTCCAAGTATGCTTTGAACTCACAATGGTTCAAGCCCCTAGATCTGATAAAATTCACAAATTTCACAAGATCTGTCATCAACTGATTCATGTTTAACTTTTGAGCACATAATTGATTTTGATGAAGTAATGGTAGTTGAGTATATCATGATCAACCGATTCTTTGAATAAAGTAATAAATCCATTATTTTTACCAATTAATGCAGGATCACCATCAGTTGTAATCGAATAAATTTTATTTCTATCAATATTGGACTTTTGGCTAATTAACAATGGCTAAATTAACACTAGCAACATCACTTCATTACAAAGATCTTTGAAACTGAAACAATCAAAATGACAGACCACACTGCCAACTTTTTTAATTGGTCAGTTACAATTCATGTCACCAATTACATCAGTACAACATCAAAATATATCCAATGAAATAAGAATAATTTTTACGACATACTTTATCAAAATAAATAAAAATGTACCAAAAAATTTAGGGTGCAGTGGGTCTCATAAAAACATTAAGTGGGCTGCAGGTTTGACATCCCTGTTGTAGATGAACTTACTATGTAGAAAAATTAAAATAAGTGTAAGTAAAAATTCCAAAATTGGTCCAATCTGATTTTTGCATTTGACAGTGATATAATTTTTAGGAAAATCAGTGAAATGTAAAATTCGGCGACTTTTGGCAACTTTCATACCAGAGCACTTTTTGTGTAAGTACCTGCAATGAAGTTTAAGAAAAACGATTACAAGCTTGCTGCAACAATCATGTTTGTTTATCGGTAAACAAATATATTCGTTTTCTTTAATTTTTGTGTATTCAGTATATTGAACAAAATGGTTATGTGGCCTGCGCTCATCATTCTCTCAGTTATCTGACACACTGTGAAAAAAGTTTGGCAACCCCTGCTGTAAGAATGGTTGAACTACACAGATTAGTCCTTCATTTGGCAACTA